AAGAAGACCAGGGATGAGCCAGTTCCTGATGATCATGCAGAAGGAGAAGATGAGGAGCCTAAAGAGGAGGATGCAACAGTTGCTGATGATGAGCATCGAAGCTACCCCAAGGTAAGGAAATGTGCCAGAATGATCAAAAGTGGCCAGGTGTCAGAAGATCTTCAGCAGCTCTATGAAGAAGAGGGCTCCAAGAATTCTCTTGAACACCAGAGGCGAGTCTGTGTTTGCTCCTGGAAATACCCAGTGTTCGAAGTTTTCAAGAAGAACTCTGAGATTTGCAGCAAATCTCAGATTACTGGGTTGGCTTAGGTTGTGGGCAAAATCCAGGGAAACCAGCAAGCTTTGAATGATGCAGAAACAGAAAATGACGAAGGTTGAGTAGATCAGAAAAGATGGTTTATCCTATCATTGTCAGGACAATTATAGCCCAAGCATGTGCCCTGCCCATGGTTTTCTTGCATGGGTTGGCCAGCAAACTCCTCACCAAGGATGAGTTATTCGCAGATGAGTCAATTCATGTCGAGCAGGCCCTGGAGCCAGCTTGGCACTGGAGCTAGTTGTGGTGGTAGTGGTAGTGGTAGTTGTGGTAGTGGTAGCAGTGCTTCCTCTACACCAGCTGTGGTTACTTCATCCTCAGCATTGCCAAAAGCGATTTCTGATGCTCCTGTTAAACTGAGCTGGGCAAGTGTGCAGCATGACATCAAAGAAACCAAAGTGGTTCAGGAGCGACTGGGTAGAGACAAGAAAGACCAAAAATCAATGATACTTTGAAGGATGCCCTCACTGAGCTTTCAAAGACAGAATGCATGCTTGGACAATGCTTCATTGCCAAGTATGACTGGTTCATTATTGCCATGATCTTGTTTCATGCCGTTTCTGACTTTTCCTCATTTTTGCCATGCTGTTGTTTCATAAATTTTGTCAGTGACACAAACACTACCCATGATCAAATCATTTGATCCAATCCAAGTGCCAAGGGAAAAACATGAGACCCTGTCAAAATACATGAAATAAACCCATGCACATATGTCAGCAGCACGTATATAGTAACCCCAAGAGAACATCAGACACATACCATATAACAAAATAAAATAAACAAATATATATGTAAAAACTAAGTGAAAAAAACATAACCCTTAAAAATTACCTTGAAAAAGGTTCTCAATAATTACCTTCAAAGGTAATTTTTTTTTAACTAATAGTTTAAAAAAATCGACCAAAATTATCTTCAAAAAGGTAATTTTTTTAGAGTTACCTATTTTGCTCCAAATAACCTTGCCTGACCTATAGGGTAGGCAGCAATGACGAACGCAACAGGCTGATCCGGCCTGGGCGCTTGGGAGCCTCATTTTTGTATGGTAGCAAATGTTTGCACAGCGGCGGCCTTGCAGAAGCCAGCTGCTCGTCGAGCTCGAAATCCATGACAGCAAAACAAGACGAAAGACTCTTAGGAGCCTCTCCGCTGCCCCTGACAAGCTCCTAAGGAGAGGGCGGTTTGACCTCTGCTTAGGAGCATCGCCGTCGTTGGCGATGCTCCTAAGGAGAGGACGCGGAGAGGACGAAACTGAAATTCCGTTAAGCGATCATGCAAAACATACCATTGTCCTCTCCGTGTCCTCTCCTTAGGAGCATCGCCGTCGTTAGCGATGCTCCTAAGGAGAGGACGATTTGACCTCTCCTTAGGAGCTTCCAAATACTCGTTCGTCGTCGCTTTTGGCTCCAGTTGTTTTAGTGGTATTTCTGACCCGGCCGTTCCCTGCCTCGGACACGAGAGCCATTGGCTGCTCCGGCCAAGGCTCTCTCCAAAAACTTCTTGCCCAGGCTTTCGGACGAATGGACATTGAAATGGTCTCAGAAAAAGGACCTCTATGGTAAGAAGCACCTCATCTCTGTGGGAGGCAAAATAGAAGGATGGACGAATATGGACGACAAGCCCAAGGTCAATGACCGTGCGAAGGACGCGCCAGAGCCAGTGTGCTTCTTCAGCCCTCCCATTGAGCTGATGGAAGAGCTGTTGCACACATTCTTTGGGAAGATGGATGTGGATCTGGGGGCAGCAGATGGCAAACTAGCTTTCGCTTGTTTGCAGAACAGAGTGGCCTACCTTGGTGTCACCTACAACGAGGTCCACAGCAAGCTGTTGGAGGGACTTGACCTGATGCAACCCAGCATGGCATACCCGTCGAGCCCTTTTTTCAATAACAACTATGCGCAAGCCATCGGCGTCGTGACCCACACTCCGACTCCGAAGCCGAAGCCAGGCCCAAAAGCAAAGACAGAAACAAAAAAAAGGAAAGCAAATGCGTCTGGGAAACCGAAGCCCAAGCCGAAAGCCAAGGCGACTGAGGAGCCTCCGCCTAAAAAAAATAAAAACAAACCAGGATGGCAATGGCGATGACAACAATGAAGGAGACGAAGAGGAGGATGACGTTTGGGACCCGCTGGTTGCCGCCTAGCTTGTACGACTTGTGTGTGTGACAGGAACTAGCTGCTCCGGCTAGTCCTGTTCATGCACTGGCAAAGCAAGTCGAAAATTTTGAAATTTCGATAGCTCAGCAAGCAGACGGCAGGTCTGGCTGCTCCGGCCGTCCTGCCACATGCAATGTGCTGGCATTTTTGGGACGTTAGGGATCAGATTTAGCTGCTCTGCCTAAAATGAAACACGTGCAGCCTCAATGGTTCCAATGCTTCAAGATTCAGAAACTTATTTCCTTTCCTCGTTCCCCGAAGGAACATTTCTCGTTGAAACCATGCAAAGTTATTTTGGTGTTTTTTTCCGTACATGGATTTACCGGTTGCATCCCACCTTGCAAGTTTCGTCTGAAGCTTCTTTGTTTATCAGGTCAGCAAACGAAGTCTAATGGGATTGAAACGTCATTTCTTATAGGAGATATATGATGGTTCGGCATGCGTCTGCACAGTGGTAGGAAACAGGTTTCTATTATACATGGTTTTCTCGTTTACTTCTTTCTTTCAAAGTTATTTTTGATTCTCGTTTTTAGCTGCCCCTGCCACTCCCCTGACTTTGAAGAAAAACAAGGCCCAAAAAAATTCTAAAATTCCGCTAAGCAAAAGTAAGGCTGAGCCAGGATCAAGGAGGCCCGAGCCGAGGATGGCATCCAGTTCTTCTAAAAGATCATGCCGTCTGTCCTCTTTGATCTCCAACTGCATCAGTCTCAAATTGTACGTCACACCCAAAATAGTGGGCTCTGACGAGAGCTGTAAGCTTCTTCTGATCGAACTTCGCGCCAAGCCACCAATGAACTTTTTCGGCGACTTCTCGAGCGCTGGCTGCTGAGCTGGCTGGCTCGAAACCATATTTGTCGTTGTAGAAGCTGAACGCCACAAGCTTGAACAAGGATACCAAGATCTCATTGATTGCTGCAGAACGTCTGTTGTAGTTGTACACTGCAGAGACTAAACCAAACGAGTGCCCCACCATGACGAAGAAGGCCGGGTTACCCGAGCTGGGGGATTTCAGGCAAATCACAGAGAACTTCCTCTGATCCGGCCTCACCGCAACTTGCCTGTAAGCCTTTCTCTCGTCAAGAACCCAGCCGAGCAGTTCAGCGTCCGGAGCAACTGTCTGGAGCCTCCGCAATGCTGCCACATTGACATCTGTGGAGGGTAATTGGAGCTTCTCGCTGATCTCTGTGATTTGGTTGATCAAATTTGTTGTGGCGCTATCACAACCCCGCACTTTATTCTTCTGAACTACTTCGAATCTTTGACAAGATCTTGGTGACCTCCTCCTCAGTGGTAAAAGGGCCCAAGCAAGAACCTTCTTCCACATCTTCCATGGTTGCTTCCCAGATTTTGAGCAAATTCTCCGTGACCGGGACCCCTCTCACCCTTTTGATGATCTTGGCCCGGAGCTCCCAGGCCCTATCCAAAGCGTGTTGAACGGGCAGAACCTTCTGGGCTTTCTCGAAGGGAGGCCATCGCCCTGTCGGAGCAATACGGCCCACAATGGGGAAACCTTCGAGCAGAAAGTTGGGCAGAGAGCGGTCCACCGATTGGGCTGCCGTGAGCATCTCCTGATACAGAGCCACATGGCATACTTCTCCAAGCCGAGCATGGGCGGCGTCGGAGGTGCCCAGCAACAAGCGCCGCAAGGCCGCATCAGGCTGCTGCATAATCAAGTGCACAGACACTGGCAAAAGAGCTTCGGCACGAACTTGCTAGAAATTCAGCGCGTCCAATCGCAGACGCAGAACTCGCTGAGGAGCAGTTGCAACAAGCGCGATCGCCTCTTCCAAAGCATCATCAAGTGAAGGAGGACGAGAAAAAGGGTGAACCAACTGGAGAGCAAATTGCACAGCCTCACCTGGCTCCATTTCCAACTCAAACAAAGGCTTGGCCGCCCCTCGCTTAAGCTGGTAACCTGCAGCGAGCGCCTTTTTCGCTGTGTCAGCTTGGCGATGCCCTTTCCAAGGTGCTTCTGAGTGAAGGGCACGTTTGCGATCAGCACTGGGCACACAAAGCGCAAATGTTGGCCTCAAATGAGCAAATCTGTGAGCAAAAAGTTGGACTAGCTGTTGCGCAATTGTTGCACAAAGAGCATGCGGATAAACTTGAGCTTGCTTCGTTTTAAAAACCCATTGTTGCCGCTGTGGGTCCCACACCTTTCCCTTGAGCTTCTGATGGACGTGGCCGCCCGGGCACGCGACTGCAAGCGTCTCGAGCAGCTCTGAGGAAGAAACAAACCTTGTAGGCTTCTTCCAGGGCGTGCCAAACGCACACTGATCACAGTCGAGCTGAAAGGCCCGGGTGCGCCTCACAAGCTCAAGAAGCTGGGGCGTGGCCCAAAGCAAACTGAGGAGGGGATTCTCGATCATGAAGTCCCCGCCAAAAGCAAAAACGAGCAAGCATGCTTCCACTGTCCTTTCCAAAAATAAAATTGCCCAAAAAGACCAGCATCTCGTCTTCCCAGCGCAGACCATCCAAGCCGAGCGGCTGCTCCGCTGACCGCAGGGGGGGTGGTCCCCCGTCCAACTTGCGAGCAGAGGTAAAAGTATTGCAAGGCGTGCCACAGTGCAAGAAAAAGACAATTCCAAGCGCCAAAATCTGTAAGAGCTGTTGCCAAAAGTGGCAATCCACCAGATCACGGGGCGTTGGCACCATCGGCGATGGCACGATATCGACTGGGGGCAGAACTGGCACCCCAGCCAATTGGCAAATGCACTGCCTCCGTGAGGCCAGCCCGACCTGCAAAGAGCTCCAAAAAGAATGGGCCAGAGCCGAGCAGGCTGTGGCGATCACGCAAAAATTGTGTCCCAATCTGGCAGCTGCTGCTGAGAACCAAGCTCCGCTTTCTGATCAAAGGAGGAAGCCACCTGATCATCATTCGTGGGGCTGGTGGCAGCCGCCCAGTTCCCAGGTGGAGGATCAAGCTCCACCTGGGCGGGAACCTGAGGCAATCAGTGGTTGCCGTGCCAAGAGTGGTTCTGCCCACACTCGGCACAGCTATGCTTGAGCTTACACTGATCACCAAAACGACACCCCAAAGAACTGTTGAAGAAAGGGCAGCGCTTCCCGCCCGTGTACTTGAACGAGATGATCTTCTGCCACTCCTTGGCGGGGACCCGCTCGTCACGGGCTGGCTTCCGAGCTGTCTCCTTGGCGGATGGCGCCGTCAGAGCTTTGGCTTTCTGCAGCTGCGCCTTCTGGCGATCCCGGCGAGCTTTGTTCTTGCGCGCCTTGGCCGTGGACTTGGGCTCCGGCGACACCGAGCGGGCACGCTTCTTGGGCGTCACTGGTGCCGCCGACAAGGTGGCTTGCTTGTACTTGTCGAGCTCAGCGCTGGAGCGAGCGTCATTCCAGAGCTGCTTGTGATTGTCCAAGACCTCCACAAGGGCCTGCGAGAAGGTCGTGAACTTCTTGCGCTGGTCTGAGCTGACACGATGGACCTTCTTGCGGATGAGGGTGTCCACCGTGAGTAGGAGGGCCAAGCCACGGTTCTCATGCCGCCATTCCTCGAGCTGAGCCAAATACTTGAGGGGGCCCGCAGCCACTGAGAACTCGCAAATGTTGAGGTACTCAAGGGTGATAAAGAACGCGTGGAGCTTATCCATGACCTGCGCCTCAGAGCTCGCTGTGGCCGGCTGATCAATCATGACCACCCGGAGCAGATCCTCTGCGTTCTTGGTCAAGCCGGACTTCTGAGCAATGTTCTCGTTCCTGGTGCGAATTTCCCCAACTTCGTAGAAGTGAACAAAGCCATGAACAAGGTAGTCTCGCTGGACCCTCTCAACGAACTTGCGATGTGGCTCACGATGGGGAGGCAGTAGAACGTCTGGGTGTCTGGAGACGAACGTCTCGCGGAACTCCGCATGATCTTCACCAGGAATTTCCGGCACCTTCGACGGATCTTCTTCCATCTTGGCCCTGCGATTGGCAAAATGATCCTGCATCGTGCTGCACGTCTTCCATACGGCAGCAAGGCTGGTCAAGGCGAGCTCTTGAGCAGGACCATCGGCGCCAAACGAAGTGATGTCGGGCACCAAGCTCTTGAGCGTGTTCTTCACCGAGGCAATATCATCGCCGAGCATTGCAAATGTCTCCACGGTGAGCAAACCCGAGGTCGCAGCCAGCTTGCACAAGTCTTGCGACACACGCTGTCGACCAAACACTTGCCGGAGCGGCAAATCAGGAGTTTTGTCAGGATCATAAACTGTACGATCCACCATGGCTGATTGAGCGTGTCGAAAATGAGCACGGAGCAGAAAAAGCTGCCCAAAACAGGAAAATTAAATAACAACAGGGGAAAGAAGCAAAAGTACGAAATATCATGTGTGTCAGAGCCCATATGGACGTCAAGCACCGCCTTAACTGCAAACGGGAGGCCACTGGCTAGCGAGCATGAGCAAGCGCAATCTCAGGACGGGCTCGCGAGCAGTGCTTGCAAAGCATGGAGAGCTCTGGCAAACAAGAGCCCACGTGCGTGCACTCGTCCAACTTGAGCCTCCCGCATGCGATTGCCGCAGGCTCACCTGCCGCTGCACAGTGATACCGGCAGTCATATGCTGCCGCTGAACCATTGGTCTTGACAAAGAACTGGAACTGGTCAAAGGCAGAGGGATCCTCGCTGTCGAGCACGGCATCCTCGGTGCCCTCTGCCGGATGGGCCTGGACGAGCATGTCCTTGACCAACTGCTGCTCCATCTTCGCGGGAATGGCAGAGCGATTTCTGGTGTACTTCAAGACGAGCGGTCCCGGGTTCTTCCAGTTGGCCTGAAGTCCAATTTCCTCGGTACTGCGGCCTGCATGAACTGCCGCATCCAACATGGTGACCCTTGCCGAGTGGGCTGTGAGGCCATTGACCGTGTTGCACAGCTCCTTGAACTCAACATCCGAGCCCTCGTGGTAGTGGTTGAGAGCGTAGCTTCCAATAAACTTGAGCCACTGCACTGACCTCCCCTGGGCATCGACTATTGATTCTAATCAATATTCTCGAAATAAATCAATATTTTTCGTTTTCTAAAAATATTGATTTCTGTATTGATTTCGCTATTGATTTGGGTATTGATTCTGAAGCCGCCAAATTTGATCAGATTTGATCAAATTTGATCAAATTTCGCCTGATTTTGATCAAATGTGATCAAATTTGATCAAGTTTGATCAAATTGCACTTTCTTTCGTTTTTGACATGCTTATTGATTTTCCACAAATTTCCTTGCTGGTTTTCTATTGAAAAAGCCAGGCTCGAAATCAATAAAAATTATTGATTTTTGTTTGAGAATATTGATTAGAATCAATAGGTGATGCCCAGGGTCTGGTACTGAGCTGGAGCTTCGCGAAAGGCTTCCCTCGAGTTGAGGTCGCGCATCCAGAAGTCGCGAGCCAACCCGAAGTGCTCATTCTGTAAGAGCTGCCACCCTGGCCGCAGCCAATCTGATCCAGAAAAACTCACATGCGGCACGACAAACTTGGTGCCCCTCCGTTTTCGCTCCACCTTGGTCTGCCATGCCACCCCGAAGAGCCCTTCTTCATTCAAGACGAGCTCGTCGGGACGAACGTGCATTGCATCGTCAAAACGAAGGGAAGCAAAAACCATGCAGAGCCACCACCAAGTAAACAACCTGATCGCCTCGGGCTCCTGTTCATCCACCACAAAGAGCTCCATCGAGCGAACGACCTGTGTTGGGATAGGCACTGCCTCTTTCAGAGTACGAGCACGTTTGCTGATCACTTCTGCCTGGAGCGCTAATAGCCCTTGATGATCAACGTCCGGGCACTCAATAGCGAGCTTGGCAGTTACCCACTTAACAGAGGTTCTAAAAGTAGGGATTACAGAGGGCCCACATTCCCTTTGGTCAAGAAAAAGAGCATACTGAATCAGCTTAGAGCTAGTTACAGGAAATAATTCAATGCCCTTGGCCTCGGCCCAGGCTGCAAACCGCTCCCAATTGGTCACGTGGGTGACCATGGTCCGAGGAGCGCCTGAAGATAGGACGAGCTGTCTCAAGCGAGCCACTTCGGCGTGGGACAAGCCCTTCTCGTTGGCGGTGTCGAGCAGCAGTTTTGAAAATGTTCCTGCCTTCCGACCGATCTCCTCCAATCGAGCTGCCCACTTCCAGCGAGCTGCATTCTCCTGGTCAAGCAGCGGTGTTGCTGAAGGGGTTTCCGAACTAGCCTTCAAAAACTTCCTCGGGGGGTTGACTGGATGGCCCGAGAGAGCTTTAATGGCCCCTGCCCTACGAGCTTTGGCCGTTGCAGCACTGATCGGAGGATCTGGTGCCTCACACAGCCCAAAGCCGAGCTGGTTGGCCGTGCTCTCAAAGAACGCTCGCTCAACTGAACAAGCTAAACCAAAACTGCTCCAGCATGAAGGTCGATCGCACCAGGTCATCCCTAATGCTCTCATCCAGCTTAGGAGCCCATTCAACCACCTTTTCAACGAACTCGTGGCCAGACCCTACCTCCATCGCCGCGACGAATGCCAAATTGGCAAAGGGGGAGCCCTGAATTGCCTTGGCAAAAACATCGTCGAAAACTGGCAAGGCAAGGATCTTGCCGGCCCATCTCTCAGGGTTTTGAGCCATGACTGAGAACTGGCTGAGCGATGGGGTCCTAGACTAATGACGCTTCCTCAGACCTTTGACCTAAGAAGCCTCATAAGTATATAAGGAACAAGTGAAAACTCCAAAACGATCATATAACCATTAACGAAAAGGGCGAAAGGGTTTAGAGCAAAGGGAAGCCAATCTGAGCAAAGAACTATCCTCCCTAACTCAGAACCCTTCTGCCCCCAGTAGTGCAGAGCCACGCAAATGTGAGCGTTCAACACCTATGACCTAAGAAGCCACCAGATATATGACAAAAACGATATCTGGGCTGAACTGGCATATGACCATTAAGAAGCGCATGGGCCAAAACGTCTTGAGCTGGATGGCTAACCAAGTGAACGAAGGTCAGCCCCTCGCAGCCCAGAACCCTTCAGCCCGCAGTAGTGCAGAGCCACGCATGAGTGAGAACTCGACACCTATGACCTAAGAAGCCTCCAGTATATATAATATGCAGAACAAACAAGGCTTACAAGGGCATATAACCATTAAAAAGAGCAGGACCAGAAAAGTTTAGAACTGGATGGCTGACCACAGAAAAAGTCAGCCCCTCCCAGCTCAGAACCCTTCTGAGCGCTCACGGCCCCCACTAAGATCCCGACCTCAGATCAAATGAGAAGCCACTTGAACAGCCGAGGTGTATGACATGTGTGCCCACAGCGAGAACGCCGAGACCACTCATGTATGAGCATGTCATAGTGTTCATGCTGAGCAAAGCCTCATGACCATGCTACAGAACCCCATGGAGCTCATGAACATGGTGACAGAGGGTTGATAAGAGCAATTGATAAATGAGTTGAACCCTCACCAATTACATAACACCATAGAACACACCAAGGACTTGCAGAATCCGATGACTGACTCTGACTCTGATCAATGAGTCTGTCTCTCGTGACTCAAGCTGGTCCTGGGGTCCCCTGAACTGCTGAGGCCTCTGCCTGAGCCGTGATGTCAACTCCAAATTAAAACAAACGAAAACAGGTGTGTAAAAAGAATGCGACCGTTCCACAACTTGCACACACCATACTCATAGCTCCAAAAACGTGCTTAGAGCACAGGTGAGCGCGCTTCAGCATTCTCTTTCTCACACGCGATGGCCTGAGTCTTCAGGCAAGATCTGGCTCATTGAGCAATTTCGCCTCCGGGGAGGACTGGAACATGTTACATAAAGTTCCCGGCTCAGCACTCCTCTACCTCTTCGACCTTTGGCTCTGGTCCGAACGAGCGAGGCACCGATGTGGTGGAGCCACCCGCTGAGACGCCGGTCACCACAGTCCTGACCTGGTCTAAGAACGCCTGTGGTGTCACAGCAGCATCAGCTAAATGTTTACCCTACGAGCGTCTAGAGAACGGCGCTGAACAAAGACCACACCTCCACCATGAGCCGACGCCTGGGGCGCCTGCCCCGCCTCAGTCACCGAGATCGGGACATCACTCGGTGGAGCCACTAGCAATGGAGCCATGGGCGGTCCTGTCAGGGCTTGCAGTTGCCCAGACGCCTGGTCCGCTGGGATCGCAACAGGCCCACCTAGAACTGGTGGAACTACTAAGGCGCGATCGCCTCCTTGGGGACGATGACCTTCTGTGCCTGAAAAAGAGGAGCCTCACAGGTCAAGTGGAAATTGTTCTGATGCGTATCCACTGCGACCGCACCCACACTGTGTCCGTCAAAGACAGAGCTTCTGTAGCGGCTGTCCAGTGAGCATGGATGCCTGCAAGCTGACTCATTTGCATAGTCTGATCAGGCCCCTCAACTCTGGCATGTCGATCACGACACCACTTGGCGTTCTGCACGAGCGTTGGGCCTGAGACCCTTGAAAGGGTGAGCCAGGTGGACGGCACGGTGATCTGTGAGCATGCCAAGTCCACATCATCACCTGCTGAGCGAAATCTGAATTCCAGCCTGTCTGCATCGACTCCGATCGAGTCCGCTGATGACAGAGCAGTCATTCTGACTTCGAAGTGGCAGAGAGGGAAATCCAGAGCAACCACAACTCCCTTCTCACTGCAGGCATAGATCCTGCCTCCCACTTCAAAACTCACGGCGATCACCCTCCAACCAATGAAGATCGTCACCACCACCGCAGGCACGAAGAGCTCGTCCCTGAGCAAAGGAATGAGACCGTCATTGATGTAGTTGAGCTGGACTGTCATATCCGAGTTGGAACGATAGCCTCTAAGCTCGAGGTGGAGGAGCAGCTGGCCCTCGATCTTGATCTTGACGTCAGCCCACGTAGATGAGTCATCCCTCATGAGCGGCCACCGAAAAGGTTGGAACGCCGCATGGGACAGGACATCTCCTGTGTCAGAGTCCCAACGAGCGCATGGCACTGTACCATAGCTGGTCATGGATCCAACCAAAATGAACTTGTACCCGTCCATGGCACGAACGTAGAAAATGTTCATGTGGTAGCCATTGTTGGGAGAGCGCAACAGCTGCCGATCGGATAAAATGTTGATGCCCGATTGAGCATTCAGGAGGATCTCATCGACAAGCCAACCCTGAAAAGGGCTTGTGATCCTCATGTCCCTGTTGTCGATGATCAGCACTGATCGCTCATCTTGTCCTGAGCCGAGCTGCCTCACAAAAGGTGGCAGCTGAAAGTTCTGGGGGCTCAGAGCATTCTGGCCGAATCTGGTTCCCGAGCAGGTTCTTGGCCGCCTGTGTGGCTGGCGCTGTGCCCCACTGATGGAACGTAGCACCGCTAGGAGCTTGAGGAGCACTCATTGGATCACCCATGCTGAAATTGGGTGGTGGAGCATCATCATCGGTGTCCTGATCCCCGACAGGTTGGCCTTGAGCTGGCTCAGGAACGACTGGTATCGAAGTAGTTGGCTGAGCAGCCTCAGTTCTCGATTCCACCCCCTTCTCTTCATTCACTTTCATCCATGATCCAACTCCACTTGCACTGTCATCCGGTTTCAGCTGATCAGACGCGCGCTGGGCAGCCATTGCATGCTGACGAGCAAGTGGAGATGGAAACGCAGGGGGGAACTGAGACATTTAAAGTGATCACTCCCAGGCCCTAGAGCAACCAACCAAAACAGGCAAGAAAAATCCCTTAGGCCGGAAGTGATCACTCTCTTGAGTCCAAAATGGCATAGGTGATTCGTCCTGAGCAAGGTCGAGATCATGATGCAATACTCAAGATCAGATCACCAAATAATCAAGTATAAAAATATATTCATATAAAAATGATCGAACGATATATAGAATGGAGAAAGTTGAACAGTCTTCTAGAGTCCTTCGCTTGTTCCAAGCCTACCGCGCCGTTAACATGCAAACAGATTTTTAGATCATGGCATTGTGGAAGGCAGGGGGGGAAGTTTAAATAACGAGTTAGATTTTAGATGATGGCATTGTGGAAGGCAAGGGGGGGGAAGTTTAAATAAAGAGTTAGATTTTAGATTATGGCGGTGGGGAAGGCAATTGGGGGGAAGTTTAAATAAAGAATTAGATTTTTAGATGATGGCATTGTGGAAGGCAAGGGGGGGAAGTTTAAATAAAGAGTTAGATTTTAGATGATGGCATTGTGGAAGGCAAGGGGGGGAAAGTTTAAATAAAGAGTTAGATTTTAGATGATGGCATTGTGGAAGGCAAGGGGGGGAAAGTTTAAATAAAGAGTTAGATTTTAGATCATGGCAGTGTGGAAGGCAAGCCGGGGGGAAAGTTTAAATAAAGAGTTAGATTTTAGATGATGGCATTGTGCAAGGCAAGGGGGGGGAAGTTTAAATAAAGAGGTAGATTTTAGATGATGGCATTGTGGAAGGCAAGGGGGGGAAATTTAAATAAAGAGTGAGATTTTTGGATGATGGCATTGTGGAAGGCAGAGGGGGGAAGTTTAAATAAAGAGTTAGATTTTTAGATCATTGCATTTTGGAAGGCAAGGGGGGGGGGAAGTTTAAATAAAGAGTTAGATTTTAGATGATAGCATTGTGGAAGGCAAGGGCGGGGAAGTTTAAATAAAGAGTTAGATTTTAGATGATGGCATTGTGGAAGGCAAGGGGGTGGAAGTTTAAATAACGAGTTAGATTTTAGATGATGGCATTGTGGAAGGCAAAGGGGGGAAGTTTAAATAAAGAATTAGATTTTTAGATGATGGCATTGTGGAAGGCAAGGGGGGGAAGTTTAAATAAAGAGTTAAATTTTAGATGATGGCATTGTGGAAGGCAAGGGGGGGAAAAGTTTAAATAAAGAGTTAGATTTTAGATGATGGCATTGTGGAAGGCAAGGGGGGGAAAAGTTTAAATAAAGAGTTAGATTTTAGATCATGGCAGTGTGGAAGGCAAGCCGGGGGGAAAGTTTAAATAAAGAGTTAGATTTTAGATGATGGCATTGTGCAAGGCAAGGGGGGGGAAGTTTAAATAAAGAGGTAGATTTTAGATGATGGCATTGTGGAAGGCAAGGGGGGGAAATTTAAATAAAGAGTGAGATTTTTGGATGATGGCATTGTGGAAGGCAGAGGGGGGAAGTTTAAATAAAGAGTTAGATTTTTAGATCATTGCATTTTGGAAGGCAAGGGGGGGGGGAAGTTTAAATAAAGAGTTAGATTTTAGATGATAGCATTGTGGAAGGCAAGGGCGGGGAAGTTTAAATAAAGAGTTAGATTTTAGATGATGGCATTGTGGAAGGCAAGGGGGTGGAAGTTTAAATAACGAGTTAGATTTTAGATGATGGCATTGTGGAAGGCAAGGGGGGGGAAGTTTAAATAAAGAGTTAGATTTTTAGATGATGGCATTGTGGAAGGCAAGGGGGGGAAGTTTAAATAAAGAGTTAGATTTTAGATGATGGCATTGTGGAAGGCAAGCCGGGGGAAAAGTTTAAATAAAGAGTTAGATTTTAGATTATGGCGGTGGGGAAGGCAATTGGGGGGAAGTTTAAATAAAGAATTAGATTTTTAGATGATGGCATTGTGGAAGGCAAGGGGGGGAAGTTTAAATAAAGAGTTAGATTTTTAGATCATGGCATTGTGGAAGGCAAGGGAGGGAAAGTTTAAATAAAGAGGTCGATTCTAGATGATGGCATTGTGGAAGGCAAGGGGGGGAAGTTTAAATGAAGAGTTAGATTTTTAGATCATAGCATTGTGGAAGGCAAGGGGGGGGAAGTTTAAATAAAGAGGTATAGTCACGGACACCCAGTTAGCAGGAACCAGCCAAAGCAAAGTAGTAAGCAGGAGGGTCTTTTAGGGATTCATATAAGGTCCCGTTCGGAGCCCGGAGCTGCTTACTGCCCTGGTCAAATTATAGGGAGGGTTCCTGCTTACTGCGTTGTCCCTACTTTTCGTGGGGAAGAGGCTCGGTACAAGGCATTTTTTTTCCCCCGCATGATCTTGACACTAAGTCTACTGCACCTGTCTTGACACTAAGTCTACTGTACAAACACTTCAGGACAACGGAGGTGTAGTAAGCAGATTCTAAAATTGTCTTTGGTGTATGTTCATATATCTGCTTACTACAGGTGTTTGTACTTAGGCCTTACTTAGGTCATTTCTTATTTGCCTGGTTTTGGCCTCTGGCAGATGCAGTAAGCAGATCAGTCTCTGCTTACAAGGCGTCCCCGACTATAGATTTGAGATGATGGCATTGTGGAAGGCAAGGGGGGGAAAGTTTAAATAACGAGTTAGATTTTAGATGATGGCATTGTGGAAGGCAAGGGGGGGGAAGTTTAAATAAAGAGTTAGATTTTAGATGATGGCAGTCTGGAAAACACGGGGGGGAAAGTTTAAATAAAGAGTTAGATTCTTAGATGATGGCATTGTGGAAGGCAGGGGGGGGAAGTTTAAATAAAGAGGTAGATTTTAGATGATGGCATTGTGGAAGGCAAGCCGGGGGAAAAGTTTAAATAAAGAGTTAGATTTTAGATTATGGCGGTGGGGGAGGCAATGGGGGGGAAGTTAAATAAAGAATTAGATTTTTAGATGATGGCATTGTGGAAGGCAAGGGGGGGAATTTTAAAATAAGAGTGAGATTTTTGAGATGATGGCATTGTGGAAGGCAAGGGGGGAGTTTAAATAAAGAGTTAGATTTTTAGATCATTTGCATTTTTGGAAAAGCAGGGGGGGAAGTTTAAATAAAGAGTTAGATTTTAGATGATGGCATTGTGGAAGGCAAGGGGGGGAAGTTTAAATAAAGAGTTAGATTTTAGATGATGGCATTGTGGAAGGCAAGGGGGTGGAAGTTTAAATAACGAGTTAGATTTTAGATGATGGCATTGTGGAAGGCAAGGGGGGGGAAGTTTAAATAAAGAGTTAGGTTTCAGATTATGGCAGTAACGAAAACACGGGGGGGAAAGTTTAAATAAAGAGTTAAATTTTTAGATCATGGCATTGTGGAAGGCAGGGGGGGGAAGTTGAAATAAAGAGGTAGATTTTAGATGATGGTATTGTGGAAGGCAAGGGGGGGGGTTGAATCCCCTTGAAGGGTTTCTCAGTGTTGATCATTCCCCCGGCATGGTGCCGTGATGGTTCCCCCCCACCCAACCTAAAGGGTTGAATCCCCTTGAGGGGTTTCTCAGTGTTGGTCATTCCCCCTGTATGGTACCCTGATGGTTCCCCCCCCAACCTAAAGGGTTGAATCCCCTTGAGGGGTTTCTCAGTGTTGGTCATTCCCCCTGTATGGTACCCTGATGGTTCCCCCCCCAACCTAAAGGGTTGAATCCCCTTGAGGGGTTTCTCTGTGTTGATCATTTTCCGTGTAATGTTTGTTTATGATGGGGTTCCAGAAGTGACGCCTCATTACCAATGGGGAAACGGAAAACCGACTCGCCCTCGACGCCGAAAAGTGCTTTTTGTGTTGGAAGTGAGTCAATGTTTGGTGTTGGGAGTGAGTTCTTGGTGTTGGGAGTGAGTCGGTGTTGAAAGTGAGTTGATTTTTGGTGTTGGAAGTGAGTGGTTAACCGTACCATGTATCGGCCTTCTTGGTGTCGTGAACAAGGTATCGGAACTCTGCTCCCTCCACGACCTTTTACTGATTTCAATCTGTCCTACATTATGCGCCTCTCGTGTCACAGGGCCCTTCCAGAAGGACATTTGCCCTAGACTGCTCGAGTGTATATTTAAAAAGTTGCTCCTTTCAGCTCGTTTCATTCCTCTTTTTTCGGGCTTTTTGCCGCCTCGGCTTCTACGTTTCTTATTCTTGCTTGAAATTTAGCTTTCAATATGACCAATCGTGATTCCGTCACTGCCAGCGTGCCTTCCCCTCGGGATCTTCACATGGCTTCGGAACATGAACTGGATGTCCCTATGACCTTGACCTCAGGAGCTGATCCCTGTGCCTGGTGCTTCCAGTTCTTCCAATCCCACCTTCCAACATCATGCTCCGCTTCAGCCGACTCAATGGCGTCAGCATAATGTCCACACTCATACCTTAAAGATCTTTGAGTATGGCAATCGCTCAGCAGAATGGATGGTGGAAGAAAAGGATTCATCGGGACACGCTCGCGTCCGTTCCATGGAACCATTATTTTACGAGTCGTTGGTCATGTTAAAGATCGACATGGATCTGCAGTTGATGGCTGGCATCAGGCGTCTCAATTGGCCAACTACTGGCGTTGCCATTTTGGGGTCCCAGAAGATCCTCATCCATACCGCGACTATGACGCCCCAGAGGGAATTGAGAACACGGATGGGCCTTCCTTCGTGCCCCATTCATCACAGCCCCCTGTTCCGATCACTCAGCTGGCCTGGCTCCTGCACAGCATTTTATGCCAGGATCCACAGGGCAATGAGTCTATTTTACAGGCTTTGAGCACGGCAGCACCAACCTCATCGTCAGTAACACCCCTGAGCTCGGAGTCCCTGAACCATGATGGTCTTGCTCAACTGGCTGGACACCTGGAGATCCTATCGAACGTCCTGGCCCAACAACGTGCTGTAGCTTCTGAGATTCCTGATGATCATAGCACGTAGATCCAAAATGTCTGCTTTTAGGTTTCTTTTGTTCACCTGCAAATCA